TACATACTGCAACCACCAATATATGTAGAATATAAACACCCAAATAATAATAATAAGCCTGGCGCAGCCGAGCCGAGGGGTTGTAAGCAGCAGACAGTGCACAGACTGAATATGAAATGGGGGTACTGACACGAAGCTGAGCAAGGAGACAAGACAGCGGCAGTGGGGTGAAGAGCGTAGAGCTCGATTGGGGCTGTGTTTGTTTGTGGGGGGCCAGAAGGACTGTAGCTGTGCTGACGCGGGGGAGCTCACCATTGCAATGAAGCGCTGATAGGTCCCCGAAGGACAAGGCAAACAGTCTGCGGCGCTTGTGCCCCCTTCTTCTTCTCTGTATGTCCCTGGCGAGCAGGGCTGAGGCGTCACAGCCCCAGAGGGGCAGTAGTACCCAGCGGGGCAAATATAACCACCGCTGGTGGAAGGTGTTGGAGTCGTCGATCCCTCTGCAGAACCCCCAGTGCATGCGCACAGCCTCTCACAGCCCTAAACTACTCTCACCTCGATGCTGAGTCTCCTTGTACATGTCAGTGTCTCTCACAAAGCATCCATTGTTATAGATAAACTCTACACGCCTGTGCCCCCCCCTTCTCCTCTCCGCTCCCCCGTGGGCTCCACCTGAAGAGCTGCAGCGCAGCCGTGCTGAGTGCGGGGGCGCACCTGTGCATATGTAGCCCGCGCTGCAGGCCGTGCAGACAGAAGAGGCCTCGGCGTCCGAGTAGGTCCCAGCAGGGCAGAGCTCGCAGCAGTCCTCGACGGTGAAGGAATCCTCGCAGGTGGCGATGGCCTGCAGGCCCGCAGCAACAACAACTGTTGTATATAAAAACAAGAGTGAGAACAACGCTTACTAACAATAACAATAAAACCCCCTAAATAATAATATAAAAATAATATTATATATATTATAAATAATATAATATATATTATATTCTAAAAAATAATAAAAACCCTGAGGGCCCAGCAAGGAGATACAAGGCCCGCAGCATATAACAATATATTACAGCCAACACCAGCTGGCTCAGCTCTAACTCCCCCCCTCTCCCTATATATATATATATATATATATATATATATATATATATATATATATATATATATATATATATNTATATATATATATATATATATATATATATGGCAGCCACTGTATCAATAAGTTGCATGCATTTGAAAAGCATAGAAAGAAGAAAAGAGCCAGAAATCCCCCTGATGATGCAGAAGAGGAGACAAAGAAAAATGTTTTGGGCTCACTCGGCTGCCAGCGGGACAGGTGAAGGGTTTCTCTTCGCCGCCAGGGCAGAAGTAGCCGTCGGGGCAGGGCAGCGGGGTGTCTGTCTCCTCGGGGCAGTAGTGGTTGGGGGGACAGGCGATGGGGGAGACAGTCTCTCCTGGGCAGTAGAAGTTGGGGGGACAGGGGATAGGCTTTATAGACCCCTCAGGGCAATAGGCCTTGGGCACACACGCCGTCCTGTAGCTGGCGTCACCCCGCTGCAGCAGCACGCCCCCCTCCATCTCTATCACCACGGGGCTGTCTCCGTCAGAGCGGTAAAGGGCCTTCTCCCCAGAGCAAGAAAACCCTAGGAGACACACAAAAAGGAGACAGCAGATAAACTCAGGAGACACACGAAAAGGAGACAGCAGAAGATATTATACACTCAGGAGACTGCTGACGCTGCAGCAGCAGGATGAGAAGAGACACACAAACCCATGCACCCTGCGAATGGCTATATAACCGCAGCAGCAGTTATAGAGAGACAGTTGGCTCTCTTTATATGGTATATAATATATAGACACAGCCTACTGTCTCCATATAATATATAATATATAGACATAGTCTCCTGTTTCTATATAATATATACCATAGATACAGTCTACTGTCTCCATATAATATATAATATATACTATATAGAAATAGTCTGCAGTTTCTATATAATATATAACACCTAGACACAGTGTACTGTCTCCATATAATATATAATATATACTATATAGACATATATTATATAGAAACAGCAGACTATGTCTATATAGTATATATTATATATTATATGACACAGTGTACTGTCTCTCTGTCGCAGTTGTTTACAGGGTCTGCGGCAGCCGCACACACACACACACACACACACACACACACACACACACACACACACACACACACACACACACACACACACAGACTCACCTTCAGGGCATGGCTTGCACTGCTCAGCGTCCTGCGTGCCCACTTTGTCGTTGAAGGTGCCGGGGCGACAGAGCTCGGGCTCTGCGCTGCCCTCCAGGCAGTAGTGGCCCCACGGGCAAACGCTGTTGACGTAGTACTCCATACCCTCAGTGGGGCAGAAGTAACCCTACACACACACACACACACACACACACACACACACACACACACACACATATATATATATATATATATATATATATATATATATATATACACCATGCAGGCTGCTTCTCGGGGCAGGGGGAAAGCAAATGCCTCTGCCATAGCTGCAGCAACAGCTGCAGCAACAGCTGCAGCAGAAGAAACAGCAACAGCTGCAGCAACAGCTGCAGCAGAAGAAACAGCAACAGCAACAGCTGCTGCTGCAGTGTTTCTTCTGGCGCTGCCCTGGAGCAGCTGGCCCGCCCGCTAGCCTTGCTGGTTATTATATTCTTTCAGTTACCCCAGCACCACAGAGACTCATAGAAAGAATCTAGAGAAGAGAAAAGGAGACAGAGGAGAGACAGAATAGATAAAGAGACAACAGCCACACCCACCGCCTCGCACGGCGTGCACGTGTCCGCCGCAGCCGCCCCCCGGGCGCCCTGGTACGTCCCCGCCGGGCAGGCGCGGGGTGTCTCCTCTCCGCGGAGACAGTAGGAGCCCTCGGGGCAAATTATGGGGACCTGCAGCACAGCAAGACACAGGCCACGCTGACGCTGCCGCACTCAGGGTTTAGGGTTTAGGGTTTAGTGGGCAGAAAGCGAACGCTGCTTCTGCGAGGTATTTGTGGCTCAACTCATTCCTCGCGAGGTTTAGGGTTTAGGGTTTAGGGTTTAGGGTTTGAGGGGTCTCTTACTACAGTTAAGGAATTACATAGATACCCGTCCGGGCACTGCTGGCACTCGTCGTCGGCCTTCGCCCCCTCACTGGTGGTGGCTGTGCCCTCGGGGCAGCGCTGGGGCTCTGTGGTCCCCGCGGGGCAGTACATGCCGTAGGGGCAGGCCCCGCTGAGTTGTAAAGAAAAAGAGAGAGAGACAGAGAGAGAGAGTGCAGCCCCAATACATCAGCCCCAGCAATGCATGCAGACACATACACATATACAAAAAAAAAAATATATGAAGGAGACTGTATCACGTACTTCATATATTTTATATATATATATATATATATATATATATATATATATATATATATATATATATATATAT